CGCTTTTTCTGCCCAGGAATCTCCTGGCCTGGCTCCCTGTTCTGTCCCCTTTTTAATCAGATGAATGGGCGACTTCCCAGGGCTCCAATTGCCAACTAAAAGGGCACCCGGACCTGTGTATTTTGTACAGAGAACCGCCGCGCCAGGCTAAGCAGCCACGCCGGGCAAAGCAGCCACGCTGGCCAAAACAGCCATGCTGGTGACCTGTGGGGCTCCTCCGCCTGGGAATCTCCTGGTCTGTGGGCAATAAAAAATCCATCTGGAAATGCAGCATCCACTCACCCTCTGTGCTTTCACTGGGAGCTGCAATCCTGAGCTGTTCCTAAGCGGCCATCTTGGATTGAGCCCTACACCACTTTTAAACACACCAGTAGGGTGAGTCCAGACTTCATTTCAGGCAAGAAGCACATGGTTTCATGAGATTATAAACCCTAGATCTAACAGGATAAGAATTAACTACACAGAACTAAATGAACTGAAGAGGGAAGTTTTATTGAGGTTATTTAGTGGATGTTGGTTTTATGTTCTATTTTCTGGATACAAAGGAAAGTGATTGCACTTTCTTCTTAAGCTAGTTAACCTACAACAATTTGTTGAACTTGGCTTTGATAAAAATGAAATATTTTCAAATGATCTCTGACCCTCACTGGCATCCCAGAGTTCAGAAACTCTTACTGAGTCTCCTTAATTTTCATAGCAGTAGATTCAATAAAAACCTTTCCTCCTTTTTAACATGATAGGATTGGACAAATCGTACAACTAGTGCCTTACCCAAGTATCATATGAGAACAATGCTGATTGGATAAAGCAGGACCAACCACTCTGAAAGGTCAAGATTGCTGTGCATATGCAGCCAATAGCAACAGAACTCTCCCATCTTCCAGAGGACAAGGCCACTTCCTGGAAAGACAGGAACCTCAGGGTACTAGGAGGACCTCAAGAAGACGGGAATTCACCCAAATGGACAGGTAGAAAACATAAATTAATTTGCAACCACAAAATGGAAGAGTTCTTAAAGCACAGAAATTAGGCTAGACACAGTGGTTCAAGCCTGTAATCCCAGCACTGTAGGAGACTGAGGCGGGCCTGAGATCAGGAGTTTGAGGCCAGCCTGGCCAAAAAGGCAAAACCCCGTTTCTACTAAAAATACAAATATTAGCCAGGTGTGGTGGTGGGTGCCTATAATCCCAGCTACTTGGGAGGCTGAGGCAGGAGAATCGCTTGAACCCAGGAGATGGAGATTGCAGTGAGCTGAGATCACACCACATTCCAGCCTGGGTGACAGAATGAGAATCCTCTCAAAAATAAAAATTAAAAAAAATTTAAAAAAAAGAACGAATGAACAAACTTACTATCAAAAAAGAAAAAAATTGATAAATTGGATTTCATCAAAGTCAAAACTTTTTCCTCATCCCAAACACTAAGATCTCAGTAAAAATGTGAGAGTAAGAACCTGTGGAAGTTTGCTCCACCATAAAAGCAACAGAAGAGTGACTAGAATGGTCAGAATGAACTTTTTGAACTCTGAAAACTAACCAAAGGCTTACAGCAACCCAGGAATGTTTGGTCAAGAAAATCAGGTGGCTCTCAAGAAGAGTGTACTTGGTGGCATTTTAACTCACCTTGGTCCCAGTCCACACACCATACCTCCATGATGGCCTGGAAAAATAACAGTCTACACTCCCAGGACAGAGGGAGCAGAATGGGGCTGGCATCTCTCAAAATATCATTCCCAAAGAATGGTATTTTATCATTTATACAAATAACATGTATAAAATCATGTCTTCTTCAAAGAACTCCTCCAAAGAAGAGTTATTATTTGACCCATGTGGGCCACTTACTGCTACCTTAAGAAACCAACTGAAAGTCCTTTCTTATGCCTGGCACAGTGGCTCACACCTCTAGTCCCAGCACTTTGGTGGATGTGGGGTGGCTGGAGTTGGGGAGGATATACAGTCTTGCAGGCTGTTTAAAGATTTTTCATTTAAAGTAGAGTATGGGCCAGGCATGGTGGCTCATGCCTGTAAACCTAGCACTTTGGGAAGCCAACGCGGGCAGATCACCGGAGACCAGGAGTTTGAGACCAGCCTGGCCAACGTGGTGAAACCCCAAACAAAAAATGAGCTGGGCATGGTCGTGGGCACCTGTAATCCCAGCTACCAGGAGACTGAGCTGGAGAATCGCTTGAATTGGGAGACGGAGGTCACAGTGAGTCAAGATTGTGCCACTGCACTCCAGCCTGGGCAACAAGAACAAAACTCTGTCTCAAAGAAACAAAGAAAAGAAAGAAAGTCCTGTATTGATTTGACCTCCCCAAACCTCTCCCAGGGCAAAAACTTGGTGGGGGGATGAGTCCGTCAACCACTTCAACATCACAAACAGCTGAAATGACACCAGTGGCAAACAAAAGGCTCACCAAAAATGCTGACACAGAAAAGCTAAGAAATGAGCTGTCCACGAGGACTGAGGTTCTAAAGCACCATGTCCATGCATCTTGCACACAGGCTTGGAAAGGCCTGTGAAGGCCCTGGGTTCTCCCTCTTGCTCACCTTGAAACTCTGAGCAAGCAGGATGTGAGGGCAAAAGGCAGAGTGGTCACCACCTGGCCCGGCATGCACTGGAGCCCCTCATCAAGGACTTACCAGTTCCAGGTATCTCAGGAAATCTCTAATATTCATTCTGAGACTGGCCTTTGCTGAAGATAGAGACTCTGGCCTATAGCATGCTGACCTTCTGGACAAGCATTAGAGGCAAACAAAAAACTGTCCACAGATCAGAGACTTGATGGCCATGGTTAATTTATGACTGAGAGTTTTCAACTATGAAATGTCTAATGAGGTTTTATAATAAAAATAGTGTAACTGTCGAGGAAACTGAGATTGTTTCTGTAGCACATGAAACAAAGTAAAAAGCCAATTAGAAAAGCAAAGTATTTCTGTGGATAAAAACTGTTATTGTATTGTTCAATGCTACTGTACAGAAATATAACTAATTTTTACAAATTGATCTTGTATCCTGAAACTTTGTTGAACTTGTTTATTAGCTCCAGTAACTTGCAAATGTGTATTCTTTCCATTTTTTAATGTATAAAATCACATCTTATGCAAACAGAGATAGTTTTCTCCTTCCTTTCCAATCTGGATGTCTTCTGTTTCCTCTCCTTGCATAAACGTCCTTGGGTAGAGCTTCCAGCACAATGCTGAAGAGAAGTAGAAAAAGCACCTATCCACTCTTCATTTTTCTTCTCTCTCTTCTTTATTCCCCATACCGGATAATCTTGATTGACCTATCTTCAGGTTTGCCGATTCTTTCTGCTGCTGCTCAAATATGCCGGTGAGCTTATCTAGTAAATTTTCATTTCAGTTGCTGTACTTTTCATCTGTAGAATTTCTATGTGGCTTCTCTATATAATTTCTTTATATTGATACTCTGCTTCTACTGATTGCTTTTTCCACCATGTATGAATTATACTTTTTGCTTCTTGGCTTCTGATTTTTGTGGCAACTCTGGAAATCAGATTATCTGCCCTTCCCCAGGCTTGCTGCTGTCTGTAGTTGTCTTTTACTTGTTTCATGACTTCTAAACTAATTCCGTAGTGTTTGTGTCTTTGTTCTGTGCTGTCACTAAAGTTTCCACTCAGTTTCACATTAGCCATGAGAAGTACAAATAAAAACCATATAAGACAAAAAAATGCTAAACATCACTAATTATCAGGGAAATACAAATCAAAACCACAATGCATACCACCTTACTCCTGCAAGAATGGTCACAATTTAAAAATCAAAAAATAACAGATGTTGGCACGGATGTGGTGAAAAGGGAACACTTTTACACTGCTCATGGGAATGTAAACCAGTACAATCACTATGGAAAACAGTATAGAGATTCCTTATAGAACTGAAAGTAGAGCTACCATTTGATCCAGCAATCCTACAGAGGAAAAGAAGTCATCCTATGAAAAAGACACTTGCATACGCATGTTCACAGCAGCATAATTTGCAACTGCAAAAACATGGAACCAGCCTAAATGCCCGTCAAGCAACGGGTGGATAAAGAAAATGTGCTGTACACGTATGTGTGTGTGTATATACATACCCCATAGAATACTACTCAGCCATAAAAAGGAATAAAATAATGGCATTCACAGCAACTTGGAAGGAGTTGGAGATCATTATTCTAAGTAAAGTAACTCAGGAATAGAAAAACAAACATTGTATGTTCTCACTTATAAGTGGGGGCTAAGCTATAAGGACACAAAGGTGTAAGAGTGATATAATGGACTCTGGAGACTCAGGGGTAAAGGGTGAGTGATAAAAGACTACACACTGGGAGCAGTGTATACTGCTCAAGTGACAGGTGCACCAAAATTTCAAAAATCACCACTAAAGAACTTTTCCATTCAATCAAGCACCACATGTTCCCCAAAATGTATTGAAATAAAAAATAAAATCCTATTAAAAAATTAATTCCTACTGATATAAACAATAAAGATTATAAAATATAACTGGAAATAATTTTTTTCCCATAATTAGTCATTGTTTAAATTATGGTATATCCATCTAATGAAAAACCATGCAGTCATTTAAAAAAAAATTCACAGTAAGATACTACTCCATACCCACAGGATGACCGTAAGAAAAAAGACATAATAACAAGGGTGGAAAATCCTGAGAAACTGGAATCCTCATATACTGCTGGTGAGAATGGAAAATGGTATAGCTACCATGGAAAATAGTTTGGCAACTCCTAAAAAAGCTAAATAAAGAGTTACCATGTAACCCAGGCTTTTCACTCCAAAATATATACCCAAGAGAAGTAAAAAAAAAGTCTCATACAAAAACTTATATTTGAATGCTTGTAATAGCCAGAAAGTGAAAACAATCCACATGTCTATCAACTGATAAATGTGTTACTGAAATGTGTTCTGGCGGCGCAACTGGATATTACTACTTGCCATGTGGCGGAAGGGAGCGCTGATTCATGCCACAGTGTGGACACACCTTGAGAACGTGCTGAGTGGAGGCCACCAGCACAGAGGCCACCTATGGCAGGATTCCACTGATACACAACGTCCAGAACATGCAAACCTAGAGACAAAGAGCAGAGGAGTGGCTGCCAGGGGCTGGAGAAAAGGAGAATGGGGAATTTCTGCCAACAGGGCTTCCTTTGGGGACCATGACAATGTTCTGGAATTAGACAGTGGGTATGAGTGTGCAACCTTACAAATATACTACAAACCACCAAATTAAACACTTTAAGACAGTCAATCAGCAGGGCATGGTGGCTCATGTTTATAATCCCAGCACTTTTGAGAGGCCAGTGCAGGAGAAGTACTTGAGGCTACAACTCCAAGTCCAATCTAGGAAACATAGCGAGATCCTATCTCCACCAAAAAGAAAAAATTAGCCAGGTGTGGTGGCTCACACCTGTATTCCCAGCTACTCAGGAAGCTGAGGTGAAAGGATCACTTGAGCCCAGGAGTTAGAGGCTGCAGTAAGCTATGATCGTACCACTGTATTCTGGCCTAGGTGACAGAGTGAGACTCTGTCTCAAAAAAAAAAAAAAAGAAAAGAAAAAAACAGTCAATCTTACAGTAGTAGTCATGTATATTTTAATAATTTAAAAATTTTTTTTAAAATGAAAATGCAAGCCACAGACTGGGAAAAAATGTTGACAAGACATACCTGGATGAAAAACGTGTATCCAGAATAAAGAACTTGTAAAAATCAGTAACAGAAAGAAAACAAACCAATACAACTTTCCAAACGACTAAGAACAAACACTTCCCAAAGAATATATACAAAGCCATTAAGCACAAGAAGGAGCACAACATATTCACTGACTAGGGAACTAGTCACTAGGGAAATGTGAGTTAATCCAAAAGTAAGTAATGCTGCACACCCACTGGAATAAAGGGTTTTTAAAAAAATAAACAGCCACACCAAATACTGGTGAAAATATAATGCTAACAGAATCTCATTCATTGCAGGTAGGAGCATAAAATCATATCACCACTTTTGGAAGACAGTTTGGCAGTTTCTTATGAAGTTATACATGCACACTTACTAAAAGGCCCAGCAAGTTTACTTCTGGGTGCTGACTTAGAGAATGAAAACACACATAGGATGTGTGTAGGAGAATGAATGCACATAGGATGTGGATGTGAATTAACCGCAGCTATACTCCTAACAGCCAGCTACTGGGAAACAACCCGAATGTCCTCAGACAGGAAACAGAGAAACAAACAAGCAGATTTGTACAAGTTAAAAATGAACCATTTGGCTGGGCACAGTGGTTCCCACCTGTAATCCCAGCACTTTGGAAGACCAAGGCAGGCAGATCAACTGAGGTCAGGAGTTCGAGACCTGCCTGGCCAACATGGTGAAACCCCATCTCTACTAAAAATACAAAAATTAGCTGGGCGTGGTGCTGTGCACCTGTAAGCTATTCAGGAGGCTGAGGCAGAAAAATCATTTGAACCCAGAGGCAGAGGTTACAGTGAGCCAAGACCACACCATAGCACTCCAGCCTGGACAAGAGTAAAACTCTGTCTCAAAAAATACATAAATAATAAAAAATAAATTAAAATAAACTACTCATCTCCCCAGAACAAGGCTGAATCTCAAAAACACTCTGTTGTCCAAAAATAGGGTCAAGACAAGGGTGAAAGCAAGAGAGATAGACGCTGGTATACAAACTTTCAGGAGGTGATCACTCCGAGAATCTCACTGGGGTGTGCGGTGCAGATCCCAGACTATCTCACCTTCCCCTAGTCCCAGCCTTAGGCAAAAGATGACAGCAATTTAAGAATAAACACAGTACAATTCCATTTATTTACAATTCAAGAACACACAAAACTAATTTATGGTAATAGAAATCAGAACAGCGCTTGTCTCCCAGGGGTAGGAATTGATTGAAGAGACCAGAAGGAACTTCTAGAGGTAACAGAAACTTTCTGCAGCTTGACTGAGGCAGTGATTACACAGGTGGTACATTTTCAATACCCACTGAAATATATACGTAAGATCTGTCCATTTCACTGTATGTAACTATTATCTCAAAAAAATATGTTAAAGGAATAGAAAGAGAGTTTCTTCTTTTTTAAAAGACCACATTGAATGCCACTGTCAAAGCAAGGGTACTGCATCTGGCAACACAAACGCATTTTTCTAAGCCATGTGCATGCTTCTAGATTTTGGGTTTTTTTTTCTTTTTTTAATGCTTCTAGATTTCTAAACAAGTTTCATGAAAGAGAGACCATTTTAATCCTGGGAAGCTACTGTGACTGGGGATTGATGCTGGAAAAGGCAAGAATCTGACAGTCAAGATGAGGACAGAAAAATAAAAATAACAGGCAAGAATGTATCTTCTACCTCCAGTTATAAGGGATTTCCATTGTCATCTAAGCCACTAGACTCACCCCCAACCCAAACCCACCTGTTCAGGAGGCTCTTGGGCCAGGGTGGACATTTTCAGAGCCCTTGACCCCAGTCGGTCCATTAGGGAGGGGTCCCTGAGAGCCTAAAAGCTACCAGGAAAGCCAGACACGCCTGCAGGCAAGAAGCACTGTTGTCTGAAACATCTGCCACAGAAAGCACTATACTAAGAATACCACATCTACTTTAAGTGCAAAGGGCAAAAATTTGAAACACTGAAAACCAACATCAATGAATATTATCAGAAAAATGGGCAATCTTAAGTACTGTTAATAGAAGTGTAATTCTGGAAAGTAATTTGGCAAAAATTATTAAAGTGTTAAATATTCATATCTTATACCTTAGTATTCCCATCAATAAAAATCATCTTTCAGATACGCTTAAAAATATATATGTTTAATGAAATGGTGTTCACTAAATCTCTGCATGTTAATAGCAAAAAGAAAAAGTTGGAAGCAACTGTAGTGTATGCTAATAAGGAAAAATGGCTAAAATATGTGTATTCTATGATGGAATAACATCTATTAAAGAGTAAACACCAGAAATTTCAAGTAAGTCAATCTAAGGGAAAATAATCCAACAATACAGACTGTATAATGTCATTTGTTATGCACACAAAATGTCCATGCACATAGAAATTATCTAAGACGACTTACAGCAAACTGTAATGTTAGCCTGGGATAGAGCAGAATTTAAAAAGCAGAGAAATACAAGCAAGTTTCCCTTTAATTCTGTACTGTTTGAGCTTTTTTTAGAGTGAGTATGGATCTTGAAGAACATGTCACAGAACTGTAGGATCACATGAAAGTCCAACTTGTGAGATTGTTCCTTCTGGCCATTTAGGACTCAGTGCCAGGACAACAGTTCTGTAACTATAATCTACAGACACCCTTCTGGGCAGTCTTTGTTTGTAATATCAAAACTATTTTCTTTTTTTTTTTTTGCTGTTGTTTTTGTTTTTTTGTTTTTTTCTGAGACAGCCTCGCTCTGTCTCCCAAGCGGGAGTACAGTGGCACAATCTCAGCTCACTACAACCTCTACCTACAAGGTTCGAGTGATTCTGCTGCCTTAGCCTCCTAAGTAGCTGGGACTACAGGTACACACACCACCACACCTGGCTAATTTTTGTATTTTTAGTAGATAAGGGGTTTTGCCATGTTGGCCAGGCTGGTCTCAAACCGCTGACCTCAGGTGATCTGCCCACTTTGGCCTCCCAAAGTGCTGGGATTACAGGTGTGAGACACCGTGCAGGCCATCAAAACTATTTTTATAATAATACTAAGTGGCTGGGTGCAGTGACTGACACCTGTAATCCAAGCACTTTGGTAGACTGCAATAGGCAGATTGCCTGAGGTCAGGAGTTCAAGACCAGCCTGAACAACATGGCAAAAACCCATCTCTGCCAAAAAATGCAAAAATTAGCCAGGTATGGTGGTACATGCCTGTTTTCCCAGCTACTGGGGAGGCTGAGGTGAGAGAATCACTTGAACCCAGAAGGCTGTGGTCAAAAAAATAAAAACTAATAATAATAAGCTATCATTTGCCTTTTTTCTTTTAACTATGATGACATTTGGACTGAAGATACAAAAGCAATGATGGGTAAAACAAGTCAATGAAACAAACCAGGGGCACCACATGGGGCCTTTGCTATGTTGCCCAGGCTGGACTGCAGTGGCTACCGACAGCCACAATCACAGCTCCCTACAGCCACAAACTCCTGGGCCCAAGTGACTCTCCAACCTCAACTCTCCGAGCAGCTGGGACTACAGGAGTACTATGCCCAGTAAACATATTCACTTTGTTAAATCTTAACCCCTTGATAGTATCTCAATATTCTGTGTGAAGAAACAGAAAGTACATGTAAATCATTTCTGGTGCATACTAAAGTGCGATGTTTGGTCTTCTGTGTTTGAGTTGTGAACTGAACTAGCCACTTTTTATGTAAAATATTTTACTTTAAAAATAACTGACAAACAATAGTTACTCAGGCTTAAGCATCTGGTAGACATTTTCTCAAAAATGAATTAAATAAATGTTATCATTTGAAAGAATACAACAAAGAGTCTTTGTTAACAATAATAAAACTCAAGTTGTCAAACACATATCCAAATTCTTAAAAATTTGTATATGCCACCACAAGTTGGATGGATTCCTAATATTTAAAGATTCTTCAATAACTTGTAGTGATTATCTTGTGATTTTTTAATAAGGAATAATAAAAGACCTATATAATTCAGTGAGTCAATATTTTCAAATGAGTAATGTACGATGTTACATAACCATGCTTGGACAAAAGTCTATTCAAAGTGCAATACATACCAATGAATTTTAGTACAACAGTTTGAAAAGATTATTGCAGAAAGCACCACATGTGGAAAACTTGCTGTTATGATGTCAACACCACCCAAAGACATCTTGACATTCAATGCAATCCCTATCAAGACCTAACTAAACATTTTGCAGAAATAGGAAAATCTATCCTAAAATTTACATGAAATTTCAAGGGACCCCAAGGAGCCAAAGTAATCTTGAAAAGGAAGAACAAAGTTGAAAGAGTCACATTTTCTTTTTTTTTTTTTTTTTTCTTTGAGACAGAGTTTCGTTCTTGTTGCCCAGGCTGAAGTGTAATGGCGTAATCTCAGCTCACTGCA